GGCGAATGATTGTTGCTGCATTTCCATTTACCCCAAAAATGTGCCATTACAAACCATCAGTGTATCAAAGAAGTCCTCAGCCAGCTTTATCATAGCCTCATTTCTTGATGACCCTGCTTCCACCCACAGCTTTCTGGCCTTCTCGAACCACTGCACCATGTAAACATACATTTTAAGCAATAAAAACATTATTCTCCTTCACCAAAACAGACATAGAGAGAACAGAAACATTGATTATACACTTATCTTTTTGACAAATCCCTGGGCGACCATTACAGATATTCCTCCACCGCCTGGAAACACCAGCATCTCACCATATTTTTGTAAAACGGTAAGCACCAAACAAGCATTGTCCACATTTCCAAGATCCATTTCCTGCAAGAACATATAAACAACAACAGTGCATATAAATCCAGTGAAGAGGTTCATACAGTTATATATCACTAAAGTTATATATAAACGCATAACTAACCCTGATGAAAAGCTTATCCAGCGTGGTCATGAATTGTCTGGAACATTTTATTGTGGTTTCCTCCTTGCTTTCATTTTGTAAACATTTTTCTAGGTCTTGAAAATTATTGTGTTTGAAAGCCTCATCCACCAGTTTCTCAACCTATGCAATAAAATATAGTGAACTTTGTGCGGTATTATGCATAAATGAATAAAAAGCGTCCCATATAATTAACGTACAGAAGACAAAAGCATTTCAGGTGAGAATTTCCATTCTCCAATCCATTTCCCCCGAAATAAAACCATGAAGTAAACTGCTCTTCTGAGTTTAATTCTCACCTGGTGCTCGTGCAAAGGTGCCATCATACACAGACGATGACCTGTTTTAAATGCTGAGGACATTAAATATGAACTCATAAATATGAATTTCAGACGCAGATAATTCAAGGAAAACACAATTCCCGAAAGATGAGGACTCAGCTGTCTTTAAAGTTTCTAAATGTCAGTAAGGTTATCCATATTTCTCAGAACTGAATTAAAAAAAAAAAACGATGTGATTTAGATTTGTTTATGCGATGTATTAATCAAATTCCATATATTAACCAAATTATGCTGTTAGCGGATTTGTAGTTAATAACGCTCTAAACTAACAGTTAACGTTACAGCATAGGCAGCAAAATTACTGTCGCACGAAACAGCAAAATAATAGACATAACCATAAAAATTCATGCTGACGGCGATCATATTTTAATTATTAGATTACATCGTAACTATGGCTGTCGGCCAAGTGTTCAGATCTTACCTCAGATTATGACTGACGCTTCACTGGCCTTCAGGAGCAACTTTTACATACTTTTTATTATTAACTAATAATGTGAAGTTAACGTAGATCGTTAAGATACAACTACCGAGACGGAAATTGTCAACTTCCACTCAAAATAGTTTGCTAAAGAGCGATTTACTTCGTTTTTGACGGTTGTTCTGTAACGCTGTGGTTTGATAACGCGGGAAAAAAGATGACTTGCGCGCGCAGGCGCAAAAATGGACACAACGTCTGACTGTCGAACAAGTCGCTCTTTTAATGTAATTGTTTTTTGTAATTTTATTTTTATTATTAATATTTATTATTATTACGCTCTCTCTCTCTCTCTCTCCTAAATTTTAATTGCTATGTATTGTTTGGCCATCCTTGAACCAGTGTTGCCAACTAATTTTCAGGGGAAGTTGCTAAAGGAAGGTCGATTTGTTGCTAAAAGTTGCTAAATTATGTTGTGATGTCATTGCGCGATGACGTCATTACGTAATCACGACGCAAGATTGTCACTACATCAAATCTCAGCAAAAATATATTTTTTGTTAATTTAAATGTGTTCGTAAAATACTATAAATGCATAATATAATGTTAAAATATAAATAACTATTTTTATATACAACATTGAACACTTTTGAACGATTACAAGTTTTTTTATTAGCTAGTAAACTAGTAAAACTACACATTCTGAACAATTATAGTTTTAAGCAGTGTATTAGTAGTCAGTATGCTACACTCTAAGAAAATAAATCACAGGTTTTTACCTGCATTTTAAATTACGCATTGTATTTTGTGTTTTCGGGTTACAGGGTTACAACGGATAATGGATAATTGATAATGGATAACGGATAATGCCCTGGAAAATTACTAGTACCTTTGCCATTTTTCTAGATATTTTTCTTACAGTGTACTAACTGATCAACAATCACATGTACAAGCTACTAACAAGGTGTATCATAAATGAACAATTATTAAATTATTATTGTTATTATCAAATTGAACAACTGCAAATAGCAATAATTAATTAATGTGATGTATGTACTTCTAGGCATCTTTGGTTTCCTCTTTTTGTGAAATTTAGATGGAAAATGTGTGCCTTTTTATTGTTTGAGTCACTTATCAAAAGTTGCTAAAAGTAGCCAAATAAAATTTAAAAATAGCTAAATTTGTTGCTAGGTGCTTTTGGAAGAAAAAGTTGCTAGGCTAGTCTGAAAAGTTGCTAAATTTAGCAACAAAATTGCTAAGTTGGCAACACTGCCTTGAACTAGGGTTGTCCTGTATTTAAAGGTAAAATTATGCGTCCGTATCAAATCGATACGGGACGCGATTTGTCCCGTGTTTTACAAAGGCCAAGGATTTTGCAGGGTGGATAATACTAATAGCCATTATAATTAAATAAATTTCATAAGAAGTATTAGAGAAGCTCATTTGCCAGTGATTGTATTTTGGTGTCTTTGTTTCCATAGCGACGGAGTCTCCACAACGCGTGCTGTTAAAGGGATAGTTCACCCAAAAATGAAAATTTGATGTTTATCTGCTTACCCCCCAGGGCATCCAAGATGTAGGTGACTTTGTTTCTCTCAAATGGACCATTGACACTCCCAACTGAGATTGTAGTCAATGGTCCATTTGAGAGATAGGTGGCGGTAATGCACTTATAAGTCTGCGATCAAAAAGAAGCAAGAAGAAGAAGAAGACACGAACGCTCGCTCAGGATGCGCTCAGGACAGTTCGGACATTGCGGTGAATCAGAGGTAAAAAACGATATAAATACTGTTCAGTTTCTTGCACAGACCGATCGTTTCATGTCTTTACATTTGAGTTAAAAATCTTCATTTTGTGTTCTACTGAAGAAACAAAGTCACCTACATCTTGGATGCACTGGAGGTAAGCAGATAAACATCAAATTTTCTTTTTTGGGTGAACTATCCCTTTAAGGCTCTTTCACACGGAACCTGTCTATGCACGGAACGCAGCGTGCGGTAAACCTGCGCGGCTCACGTCCGCCCGGTCCGCCCTTTGAACACAAGAAGACTCTCTGTGTAGGGCTGAATGGGAACGTTATCAATGTGTCTGTCCAGAAACTAATGATGAACGCGCAGTTTGCAGAGAAGCATTTCAGTTGCTCACTGTGTCACATTTTGTCATCGTTTACACACCCACAAGTTATTTTCAAACCTACAATAATTTCTTTCTTCTGTTGAACATAAAAGAAGATATTTTGAAGAATGTGGGTAACCAAACAGTTTCTGGTCCCCAATGACTCAGTATATTTTTTCCCTACTATGGAAGTTACTGGGGACCAGCAGCTGTTTAGTTTCCCACATTCTTCAAAGTAGTCTATCTTCTTTTGTGTTCAACAGAAGAAAGAACTTTATGCAGGTTTAGAACAACCACCTGAGTAAAGAATTTTCATTTTTGGGTGAACCTTACCTTTATCAAAAGCAAAAAAGGCCTCTAACACTAGCTTGCTCTATTCTTTTTCTATTCAATCTGTTTTTCTTTTTATGTATTATATAATTTAAAAACAAACCTTGCTACGTGTACTGCGTTAAGCTAACTGAAACTTGTTATAGCACTTGCGTATCATTGCTCTTTTGTTGATTTTGTTTGTTTCCATTGTCATCATTTGTAAGTCGCTTTGGATAAAAGCATCTGCTAAATGACTAAATGTAAATGTAAGTGACAGACACATCCATGCTTCTAAAGGTATCAGCCTATTGTTTTATTAAAATTTGGATAGTCTGTTTATATAATATTCCAGATACATTATCAGTACATTATCAGAGCTTGGTAGAAATTATTCTTATATACATTATTAGAAAGATGGATTAATAGATTATAATTCATTTTAGGCCCTATTTATTAATTAATCTTTTATATTAATCATAAATATGTGTCCCTTATTTTGCCTCGCTGAAGGTCACAACCCTACCTTGAACCCCTGGCTGGCTCTTTTCCTCGTCATATGTTTTTTCCACTTTTGTATTCCCTAAGCAAGTGTTTAATAAAAAAAAATTGTTCCTTTGAGTCAGATCTCTTCAGTGAATCGATTGAACTGCTTCTCGATTCAAAACTACTGAGTGTACTACAGACTAAATACTATACTAAAAAATAAAAATAATAATAAATAAAAAACATTTCTTCAATACCAGAAAGGCTGAAATCTTACAAATAAAACGTACTGGAAATATTTCAATGATTTATGAATTCCAGCTTTACGAAAATTAACCATGGTTTTACTACTAATAAAAACAAAAGACATGGTTATTGTAGTTAAACCATGGTATCCACAAATTAACCATGGGTTTGCTATGCTAACCATAGTTTAAACTATGGTATTTGTAGTAAAACTGTGGTTATACATCAACCTGCCAAAAAAACATGGTCAATACACTTTTACTATAATAAAACTATGGTTATTTTCGTAAGGGTACACATATGAAATAGCATTAGTTTTAATAAACAGAATTTTATTAAAACATGCAAGACATGACTTTTAGTATCATTTATTGTAAATGTAAATGACTGTTGTTATAAACTGAATCATGGCACAAACAAACTGAAGCTACAATAAAAACACTTGAAAAGTGCTGTAGTAGTGATGACATATTCTTGTAGTTCAAGCCAGTAGTTTGCATCAGTTCCAGTTCATTTGACAAAACAACTTCCAACAACTCTTTCAGTCTTTATTTAAAAAACATTTTCTATTAAAGTTTGCATTTCTAAAAACCAACTGACTTCAGGACGATGGAATCGGAAGTGCTAAAAATATAATTCATCCGAGTTTTGGCCTACAAAAAGCTGTCACCCCTGCAACACTTTACATACAGCAATTTGTGTCTACATATGGCTTTATTGGAAGGCATTATGTGAAGGACAATGCGATGCAATAAAGTGACTGAATAGTTTGTTTTTATCAGTTCTTCAATGCAAGTGGGATTACCCATCCTTATTTATTCTATCAACATCTGTGTTTACAATATCCACAAGTATTATGAAAATGTACCATATAGTGACAATAGGTAAGTGCAAACCTGAAAGGTAAAAAATACAGTAAAAGCACTTTTTAAATCTACATTACATTATCAAATCAACATACAGTAATACTCTCAGTGCTACAGTCCAGTTAAACAGTCGTCACTTAAAGTTAAAAATCTCATATTTCATACGGCTTCAAGTTATTATTTACAAATGAAATATCAAGACTTTCAGAAAGTCAGCAACGTATATCACAGTGAAAATGCTGGTGGTTGCAAGCAAAATATAAAAGTGAAACAGTGCTCTAAAAAAGGTTTCATCTAACTCTCAGTGTCCTCAGATAAAGTGTATCACGCTGTCTTCACATTCCTACGGCACAGGCAGGTTATAACTCTGACAGGTTAATTTGTAATTCTGCCCACCATTGTTATCCCAAAACTGCATGCCCATTACTTTATAACAAATGGCAAACTCCAGCACTGCTCCAGGGTGAAGGATATATGGAGGAACGGGTAGATGAAATCGAAAAGTGTCACAGCAGGGCCCGTTTGAAATGGATTTGCTTGCAACCCAGTAAGCCTTGGTTTCTGAGCAACTCTTCCAGTTTGTAAAAGAGTAGCGAACACTCACTTCCTTCTCAAACGCCAAGTTTACAACTTGAACTATCCCTATAATGCCAGGCTCATAGCACAATACCCGCTCTAGACATACTTGTTGGCAACGCAGACGCTCGGTGAAGTTTGAACAGTCACCTGGCTGGACTGAGAACATCGGTTTCAAATATGGTAGGGAAATCTCCATCCCCTTACTTGAGGCTAACTCTGCGCTCGTTAACAGTCGAAAGAGAACATGCTCTGGGACAAAAGGGTCCTCCCCGCGTTTAAAAACCTTGACACTTTCTAGGTCCAAGCCTAAAGAGTCCACAAACCGGACGCTGGCTCTGCGACTAAGCCTCCTTGTCTCTGACGGAGATGGAAGCGACTGCGTCCGCCTCTGGATGATGGATTTGGTTGGTGGTTCACATGACAGGCCTGCTGTTGGCCTTGGGGTAGTCTTCGGGCTCGGTGGACGAATTTTAACTGGCCTCTTTCCGCTGTTTGTTTTTGAGCAGGACATGTCCTGCAAAATCGGTGTGGAACTTTCTTTTGAGCCATCTGATACTGTGGTAAAAAATAGGTCAGCGTTCATCTCTTCGAGGGGTGTGTCTTTATGGCAACATCCCAAAGACCAGGCCATGTTTAATGGAAAGTGGTACCATGCGAGACCTGAAAAAGAGAAACATTCTAAGTTCTGCATATTTGTAAATATTTTAGAGTATTACATGTTCTAAGGAAGTTCTAGTAAGCAATATCAGGTAATACTCTGCAGCTGTGGAAACATGGCAGGCTCAATGACTATTTCAATCTCAGCTGGATAACTGAAGGGTTGCCAACTCTCACACGCTTCCAGGCTCTGACTCACGCTCTCAATCTGCCCATGTAAATCTCACGCCAAATTGGCAACCCTGCTTGCTATATGAAACAAAGTCTCAGCTTTCAAATGTTGTGAACTTTAATACTAAATTCTAACAATAAATACCGTTTTGGCGCACTTAATCTGGCGTAAATCGTAAAATGTAGCGCTTCAGTTAAAGCCAGAGCTATTGAAAAACAGAGTTGCGACAAGCTTTTATCTCGCTGTTGTCGCCGCCACGCGGTCACGTGATTCATAGAGCTCTCCAAACAAACCAGCGTTGACAATACATTTGAATGGATAGACGACAGCAATTTGCAGCAATTTTTGGTAAACATTACAGCATATTATGCATTGATTATTACGTCGATGACATTTACAGTATCATTTTACTCTGGAGAGTGATGGAGAGGCAACATTAATATGGTTTTCTTAACCTTCAGACATTGCTTACTGCTTACAGTAGTGAGCATTGCATACAGCTTAACTATTTTTCAGTTAAATAAGTGTTGTATATTTTAGTTCAATAATATTTATTTAATATTTTGAGGAGATATTTTGGTAATACATACTATTTGTGCAATAATTATGGTCCATTAATGACTTAAAATATTTTTTACTATTACTTATATTACAATTAGTGTAGTATTTAAGGTTAAAATAGAGAAAAGGTTTTTAAATTCCAATGCAAAGAGGCAAATTAGTCATTTTGTGGTCAGAAAAAAATTATTTTAATTTGTAATGCCATGATTTACCCACTAGGTACCTGTATGGCTCTTTACTAAATATATCTAGAATATTGCAGGTCATACCTGCTTATTTTGTTTTTTTAAGTTCTTCGTTTGAATAAATATTTAGACATGATTAAACACTAGATTTTTAAATGACAAATTCAAAAAGTTAACAACGTAGGCCTACCCTACATTCTTTTTTAATGATATTCGCATACTTACACACAATGAATGCAAGCAAATACTGAATTTAAAACAAGTTTAAAATGGTGTTAAAAAGGCATTCAGCAAAAGATTGTTTATCCCCTTATTTTTTACAGTATATACACATGAATTGATATTGAATCGAGATCGACCCCCCCAAAAAAATCTCACTTCTAGCTGAACTTAAAAGTTGGCAACCCAACACTTCAATGCAAAGTAATGCAACTTACATTTCGTGTCTTTCAAAATGCACACTGTCAGTGCAAACGTCTATTAGTCAATGACTTCGCCTTTATACAAAAATAAAAGGAAGAAGTTCAAGTTCGCATTTTATTGCCTCACCAGGAAAATCCGGCGTTTCGGTTTACGACGCATCTGAAGATCCTCCGTTGCTATTTTTATAAACCATGCATTTCATAATGAGGAGCACGACCAAAACTCTGTGCAAAAGTGAAGTAGCCTATACTACGTGACACAACACACATACGATGCATTTCAAGCAAACTGCGCACAGTGCGCAGAGCTGCCAGGAGCGTGATGTCAAACAAAGGGGGCGTGGCTACCGGGTCAGCTGTGCTCGGGAAATGCTGTTGGTTGTGCGGTTGCCATGTCTTCCTATTATAAGTGCTTCGGGGTTGCTGAATCGCTTACACAGTCGCAGGCTGTAGTTTTTGGATTTATTTGCTTCTCGATTCAAAATTCACCGAGTGTACTACAGTACAGACTAAATAGAAACTTAAAAAAAAAAAAAAATGTCTTCAATACCAGAAAGGCAGAAATCTTACAAATAAAACGTTTATTTAAGGTTAAAATAGAGAAAAGGTTTTTAAATTCCAATGCAAAGAGGCAAATTAGTCATTTTGTGGTCAGAAAAAAATTATTTTAATTTGTAATGCCATGATTTACCCACTAGGTACCTGTATGGCTCTTTACTAAATATATCTAGAATATTGCAGGTCATACCTGCTTATTTTGTTTTTTGAAGTTCTTCGTTTGAATAAATATTTAGACATGATTAAACACTAGATTTTTAAATGACAAATTCAAAAAGTTAACAACGTAGGCCTACCCTACATTCTTTTTTAATGATATTCGCATACTTACACACAATGAATGCAAGCAAATACTGAATTTAAAACAAGTTTAAAATGGTGTTAAAAAGGCATTCAGCAAAAGATTGTTTATCCCCTTATTTTTTACAGTATATACACATGAATTGATATTGAATCGAGATCGACCCCCCCAAAAAAATCTCACTTCTAGCTGAACTTAAAAGTTGGCAACCCAACACTTCAATGCAAAGTAATGCAACTTACATTTCGTGTCTTTCAAAATGCACACTGTCAGTGCAAACGTCTATTAGTCAATGACTTCGCCTTTATACAAAAATAAAAGGAAGAAGTTCAAGTTCGCATTTTATTGCCTCACCAGGAAAATCCGGCGTTTCGGTTTACGACGCATCTGAAGATCCTCCGTTGCTATTTTTATAAACCATGCATTTCATAATGAGGAGCACGACCAAAACTCTGTGCAAAAGTGAAGTAGCCTATACTACGTGACACAACACACATACGATGCATTTCAAGCAAACTGCGCACAGTGCGCAGAGCTGCCAGGAGCGTGATGTCAAACAAAGGGGGCGTGGCTACCGGGTCAGCTGTGCTCGGGAAATGCTGTTGGTTGTGCGGTTGCCATGTCTTCCTATTATAAGTGCTTCGGGGTTGCTGAATCGCTTACACAGTCGCAGGCTGTAGTTTTTGGATTTATTTGCTTCTCGATTCAAAATTCACCGAGTGTACTACAGTACAGACTAAATAGAAACTTAAAAAAAAAAAAAAATGTCTTCAATACCAGAAAGGCAGAAATCTTACAAATAAAACGTTGGCCTACTGGAAATATTTTAATGATTTATGCATTCCAGCTTCATATAACCTTATGAAAATGAACCATGGTTTTACTACTAATGAAAACAAAAGACATGGTTATTGTAGTTAAACCATGGTAACCACAAATTAAGCATGGGTTTGCTATGCTAACCATAGTTTAAACTATGGTATTTGTAGTAAAACTGTGGTTATACAAATGGTAATCAATCTGGCAAAAAACATGGTCACTACACTTTTACTATAATAAAACCATGGTTATTTTTGTAAGGGTACGCATATGAAATAACACGTGCAAGACATGACTTTTAGCATCATTTATTGTAAATATATATGTAAATGACTGTTGTTATAAACTGAATCATGGCACAAACAAACTGAAGCTACAATAAAAACACTTGAAAAGTGCTGTAGTAGTGATGACATATTCTTGTAGTTCAAGCCAGTAGTTTGCATCAGTTCCAGTTCATTTGACAAAACAACTTCCAACAACTCTTTCAGTCTTTATTTAAAAAACATTTTCTATTAAAGTTTGCATTTCTAAAAACCAACTGACTTCAGGACGATGGAATCGGAAGTGCTAAAAATATAATTCATCCGAGTTTTGGCCTACAAAAAGCTGTCACCCCTGCAACACTTTACATACAGCAATTTGTGTCTACATATGGCTTTATTGGAAGGTTTTATGTGAAGGACAATGCGATGCAATAAAGAATTTTTTTCCACAAGCCGTTCGCGATTTTAGGCTTGCAGTCTTTTCTCTTGACCACTTGTCTACTTATGATGTATTTCTTGTATTTGTAAGTGTTCAAGTGTGCACCAAGACTGCAAGTGTGTGTAAAACTTTTGATTACCTGAAGGGACACACTTACAACACAGCGTTGTAAAATTGCAAGTAAAGCTTTATTTACACATTTTCAGTACTTTACACTTTAAATGAGCCTGTCTGTTCAGTAGTGCCTAGGCTATAACACACTACACAACTGAATTGTAGTGCTTCTTAATGTTTTACAAAATAAATAAAAATAATTATTTCTGCACTAATAAAATGGATTTTACTTCCAAATTATATGTAATATCTAATTAATGTACCTTACATTGGAAAGTTTTCCTCGAAATCTCGCAATTTCAGGTTTTATTTTATTATATTTTTTTATTGAACTTTCAAAATTACAGAATTCAACAGCAAGTTCTTGACATATTTCTCACATTTACACGTTTTGTAAGTACAAATTGAAAAAAAAAAATAGAACTTAAAAGAGAAAGAAAAAATTAATGTGCATCACAAAATGATAAATGATGGGAAATGCTTAGCCTTAAATATCAATATCAATATATATATATATATATATATATATATATATATACAGGGGCGCCGCTAGCAATTTTGGGCCCTATGAAAGAATATGAGGTTGGGCCCCCTACC